GCGTGGAACACAAATCCACCTTGCAGCTTGGCGACCTTCATCTCGTATTCCCCGTTGATGGAAGCGAGTAATCTTTGGGACCAGGTCTCCGTGAAGGAAGCGAGGACGCTTGGGACTGAAACAGGAGCGTGGAAACCCCGCCATACGTACATTCGATTCTCGCAGCGCTCTTTTATAGATTTTTTTGATCGATCATCGCTTCGGCGATCACAGTCCGGGGGTGATCGGTCAGCACAAAGTAAATTTGAATAAGCACAACAGTTTCTGATCAATTGTCTGGTATGATATTTTGATCCACGCCGTGGAAAAATTCAAATGGACAAGACGCGGGACTGTATGGCGATCCCCGACATCTTTGAGATTCTCTATATAGGTGTGTCCACACTGAAAAAAAAACAAGCCCCCCCATGCTCCCAGTCTGGGCGCTCAGAGCACGTGCAAGGGGCAATTACAGCTGTTTGCAATGAGCATGACACTTGGCAATTTTTTGTAAATAAGACCAATTTTGATTGTGTACCTTGCTAACGACGCCCGGGACGCATTTCTGAATCGATTTGATTCGTTTCTAGTACGTTCGAGAGGGCTTCAACGGCACTTTCTAACCATACCCGGCCCAAGGTGGGATACCAAATATTTGTGTTCGCCAAAATGTGCCTGCTGTGGCTTCAACCGCACCTTGCAGTGGTGATATCTTGGCCATTTCTTCATCAATTCATCTGATTCAAGATGTGTTCGAATGCTGTGAGCTAGGCACCTACTCCCATAATAAGAGATGTTGTCACATATACTGTACATTGAGTATCTTAAAAAGCAGTTGTTTTGTTTATTTGAACAATCAGTCGTGGTGCTTGCATTTCAGGTTGGAATCAAACTCTATTCACGAGTCGGATATGCCAGAGGATCACCTCTGGAAAACATTTACAATCATTCAATTTGGTTGAGAATTGGCTAAGAAATCATTGTTGCAAGATGTGGGTGCAAAGACCCACAGCGAATTTTGACAAAGCCATAACACTTCGAATAGGGTATGTATAGAAAGCTCCGTTGAAACCCTCACGAACGCACCAAAAATCAAGCAAATCCGTCCAGAAATGCGTTCTGGGCGTTGCTGTCAAAGTGTGCAATCAAAATTGAAAATTGCTAAGTGTCATGCTCATTGCAAACAGCTGTAAACCTAATTAAGTGTCAAGCGATGAGTATGATCCGTTTTCTTACAGCTTCTCACCTCGCTCTTCCTCCACGTCAAATGACCCGCTGTATGACTACAATATGCTCGCACCATGCTCGAATTTCCGATAATTCCAAAGTTTGAACTTACTCTGCGAGCTACGCTGATGAATTCCATGGTTCGACCGGTGCTGTAGATTTCCTAAATGTCCTCAAATTCCACAGTGCGCCGTAGCTATGATAGACTGCGGCCAATCGCAAGGTACATGCTCTTCAAAATTCTCGTGCTCTCTTCTCGAATTTCGTCCTGTGCTCTGGCATCCAACATGCAACGCCCTGTTCACGACGATTATCTTTACTCATGCAGGCTGCTTCCAGGGCAAGCAATTACTGACTCAGTGGCGGACGGCCCACATCTGCCTCATTTAAGTATTGTCCTAGTTTCCACTGCAGAAGACCCCCGTTCGACTCGGGGCCGAGTCATGGTCCGCCACCAGGATTTCTTTTTTTTCGGATTCTCCACTGAGACAATCATTTTACTACTTGTCGCGGAACGTATCACTTTTATTAGAGCAGGTCGCCGAGCCCTCGCCTCGCCTTATTGGCATTTTCATCCGCGCTGTGATTATGCACTGACTTTGCCCATACCTGGCAGCTTGCTTACATATCTACAATAGGTCAGAAAGAGTTCCAAGACCGACTCGGTGGCGGAGGGTCCGCTTCTGCCTACTTTAGCCATGTGAGAGTGCAGAAGACGTCCGGTCGATCCGGGACTGAGTCATATCTCAGGGGAGGTGGCAGTTTTTTTTCTCTCTCGAGTCTGGTTTATTTCACCAATGTTCGTCAGATACTAATGGCTTCGCAGAACTTGGTTTTTGGAAGAACGAGGGCGAAACAAATCGTTCGAATAAAAATGAGTCAGGCCCGAGTTGAACGAACGACTTCGGAACCAGACCCTCCGCCACAGAGCCAGCGTCAGGCTCTTGCCCTGCCTCAGGAAGATCAGTGATATTCAATGCGGCATGAGATGAGGGATGAAGAGTGCCAGGAGGGCAGCTAATGAACGGACCCTCTAGGGTCCACAAGCTTACGGCCCCAAATATTATCGCGGAGTAACGAGCGGCAATGATCTCCACAGAAGCTCATGAATTTAGTGAGAGCAATGATTCACACACGCCGTTAAAAATAATATAAGCACGCGAAAGATCAGGGGGGAAAACGCACAACGGGGAAATGCATGACTGGGGCCCGAGTCGAACGGGCGCCCTCTGCTGCATCCAGCACCAAGTCAGGAACAAGAATAACTTGCAGACGCCGACCGCCCGCCACCGAGTCGGTACAAGCACTCTTCACGTGGATATGCGTGCACGCTGGAATCAGTCAAATCGTGCATGGGGGTGGTAAATTCAAATACTAATCAAAATGCAGGAGGATTCATGGCATGGGGGACTAGAAGGCTCAAGATCTAGAAGTTGCATTGCGGAGAACCCCTAGGACTCGCCACCATCTTATGGGATTTTAGTCATATGTGTCCGGAAAGGTTGCGCCCGAAAGAAAACTGGAATTAGCGGTGGCGAAAAGAAAATTGCAAAATACAACAACCTCCGGAACGAGTGGATGACTCAGGCCTGAGTCGTACGGTGTCGAAGAAAAGAGAGGTCCTTACGTGGACCGAGTGGCGTCCAGGTCGTGCCGGCAGCGGCGCCGAGTCGTGGGACAGAACACTCCCTCGCGAGATCACGAAAGGAGCTCCAGAGGTAGAAGACTCAAAAGGAATAAGGAAGCTCGAGATGTATGCAGTTCCGAGTTAAGATAGTTGATTCGTCGTCGTCGTCGTAGGAAGGAAGGAGGAAGGTGATTAGGTAAAGACCCGGCTAAGCGAAATGTGGGAATGGAATATGGTGGAAACTACATAGAATGGCCGTTGTAAATCCTTTGGCTTCGCAAATCCTTCAGCACGTTGTGAACCGGGAACCTGCGCAAAGACTTATAGGGAGACACATGCTGCCCCGCTCAGCACCGAAGGTGGTTGCCCAAGCCCCTTCGAAGTCAATCCCCAGCGCAGTCCGAGCCCACGCCGGCGTCCAGAATCTTGATAGCCTCGGGATTTCTACAAAATAGGAAATGCGTAGTGCGGTGAGTAGAAACTAAATGGTGTAAGTAGTATAATTGGATATCCGACCGTGTTTCTGCTCCAAAATAATCAGGCGCACGTGGGTATGGGTGTGAATAGTTTGTTGGTGCAACGACGAGGCCCTTGATCAAGCAGTGTTGGAATGAATCTGAGGAAATGAGTGATAAAATGTGTTTGGAAATAAAATGGGGAAGAAGGACGCGATGGAAGAATGAAGCAAAAATCGGACGCGTTGTATTGTCGAGTTTGGCTCGCACGTGCACCCGGCCCGAAGCCCGCAGGCGACGAGCAGGGCAAGTCGCGCTGCCACAACGGGCATGCTCTGTTTGACATCGTCCAAATCAACGATACTATGTATCGGCGGCCGAGCCGTCGACGCACTTCATTCGACCTAAATTTTCAAGGAAGACGGAATGGGCGAAGTCAATACTTGCATCGGTGATTGTGGATGGAAATACATACCAGCCCGGACGAGGGAGGGTTCGCGGCCACCGCCACATAATGAAAATACGCGGGCTGATTGAAAGATCGGCACTGGAAGAACGAGTGCGAAAAATAAGGGTCAGGGACTCGGGCCCGAGTCGAACGGGCGCCTTATGCGTAAATCATGTGAAACGCATACGTTGAGCAGATGCGGACAGTCCGCCACCGAGTCAGTATTCAGTCTGAAAGGTAGGAAAAAATTAAGCCGCTTGGAAATAGACTGGAGCTCGGATTCGGTGTAGGCGCAGAATGATTGAGGTCCTCTCTGATGGATGTTGTCCAGGAGCACCTATGAGAGCAGATCACAGACGGAAGGAAGCGGAGTCAAAAAGTTGAAGCTTGAAGGGCGAGGGGAAAAGTGCGTACAATTGGCGTGCGAACAAAAACTTTGAATCGCTGGCATGCCTCGGACCTGGTTCGAATAGGCAACTTCCGCTGGGGAACTTCCGGCGCCATTCACCCAGATGAAGCGGATGCGATTCCCATCTCCACCGAGTCGTAGTGGTAACTCCCAGCACGAGAAGATGACGGTAAGAAGGAAGAGGTACGGTTGAACCCGGTACACCAGCCCGGCACCGCCCTCGGCATGTGGTGACGTCACTGACGTGGTGCTTCTTGGCTTGGCGCTCAAACTTCCTTCTAACGAACGAGGAACAAGATGACTCAGGTCCGAGTCGAATGGGTGGCTTCAGCGTATGCGATACATCTTCCTACCGCCGAGTCTTTGGAACAACTCCCGGTGCAAGTCGATGATTTGTTTTGTTTTTGTTGTTACCTACGCCACACTCTTACACCCGGCTAATTCCTGGCCCTTGACAACGACACTGTCACCTGTGACGCATTTCAACCCGATATGACACTGTCCGTTGAATCCGAGTCCGGAATTGAGAATAAGGACCCCCCATCAATTGCGGTGATCTCGGTCCTGCCGCTCTGTCATTTGATGCCGCACACGACCTCGCATTTTCAACACTAGGGCATGGGCTATACCCTGCGCAAATGAGATCAGAAATATTCCCATGGGCTAGGCGCGTGTCTGGTCGGTATTCAGGGACCTTTCCTGCCTTGACAGAATCTCAATATGAATCAAATTTGAAAGTGAACTCAGGTTTCAATTTACAAACGTAGCGAGAGAAGGACGGATTCTCAGAGGAGCTAGAAAAAAAAAACCATCGGTGCTAGGTAAAAATGCAACAGAATACCAAACTCGCTATCATGATTCGGACCCGAATCGAACGGGCGACTTCTGCTGAATCTCAGTGTTTTGTGCTCAACTATAGAAGTGACAGGCGCGGACCATCCGCCACCGAATCGCTATTGACCTTGCTAGTGCCCTGCATAAACTAGGTCCGACAGAGTCGCGTTGGCTGGAAACAGATAGTAAATTCGTGCTTTGGCAGAGTATCAGCATTAATCAAATTCTAAAGTGAACTCAGGGCTCAGCTCATAACTAGTGCAGGACGGATTCTCAGGAGAGTGACAGAAATGATCTGTGCTGGGGAGGAGAGCTAAACATCCAAAAAACCACAATTAGATACTACGACTCGGGCCCGAATCGAACGGGCGTCTTCTGCTGAACATCTCATACTTGTCAAACTTCGCAGACGCGGACCATCCGCCACCGAGTCGGTATTGACCTTGGACGTACCCTGCACAAGTGCGACCAGAAATATTTGTGCTGTCTGGGAATGGAGTGTATCAAAGAAACAATGAGGTGAGCGCCGAGACGTGAAGCACACCATGAAAGCCAGTGAAATGACAGGTTCACCTGTCGTCTGGAAGCCACCAAAATAATATCGGCCTGACATAGAAGAGAGCGAAAAAAAATGAACGACGATGCGAATGACTCGGGCCCGAATCGAACGGGCGACTTCCGCGGAAATTATATTGGAGCACACAATACATGCAGCGGATGCGATAGCCTTCGCCACCGAGTCGTTGCAGTACACATCCCCTGCAAGCCTAGGACGATGCGATTAATTTCAAAGGTACACTCGTCTTTGATTATTGAGGTCGTAGTACGCCTCGATCAGAATCTTTCGGGAATCTGCGATTCCGAGCTAGTTGGATGGCACATTAGAGAGTACAAACAGAAACTTACGATACCGTCCAAATTTGTTGTATTGGCCGCCTGAGACGCAGCACAACATCCGCGTTGATGGGCTTGCCGTTGCTGACTGCAAGAACGTCGAGAGAGACGACGACGAGGGTCGCAGAGTGAGAGGAAAACATCCTGTAGCAGCGATGGGTGGTGCGAGTCTGTCTTTGAAAGTTGTGCCGGTCCAGTATTTATACGAGGTTCGGTCGTGGCCGCATGACACTCCAATGTACTTCCCTAGTGAGTTGAGCTAGAGCCGAGTCTGCAACGACGAGCAGCGCGCCGCGAAGGCGATCAGCGGGGAATCTTCTGAACGAAGCGCCATGAAAAGGAAGCGCTACTCGACGGATATGCCCCCACTGACGCAGCCTCCACAGTGTCGAAGTATTAGTCCCCAGAGAGTGCTTCGGTCGTACTTCCAGCAAGAGACCAAGTCACTTAGATTCCAGAAATCAACATGATGGTGCGGAGCAGTTGCAGACCCCTCACCACCGAATTGGTACTGATACTCCTTCAGCCCTGGATAAATGCGCAGACAAGAAATTCGAAATCAGGTTCGAATACTGTAAATTTGCGGGATCGCGGCCCAAGCACTGAAAAAACTATGAGTGAGGGGAGGAGAGCGAATAATCCAAAAGAGAATGCTTGGACCTCATAACTCGGATCCTAATCGAACGGGCGGCTTATTTGAACCGTCGAAGGTCACAAATAAAGCGTATGCGATCATGCCAACGTCTGCAGATGCAGCGGAAACAGATGGGAGAAGAAAAAAAAGGAAACTGAATTGTTATAACTTGGCCCCGAATCGAACGGGTGATTTCTGCTGAATGGTGGTCTAAGACGGATAAATAACCCGCGGACCCGGACCATCCGCCACCGAGTCGGTATTAACCTTGATATTATGTCGAATAAATGGGCCCAGCAAAGAGTCGCGTTGGCTGGGATTAAGTGCGCTATTATATTGCGAGAAAAAAAATAGGTGAGCACTGAGCGGTGAAGAGCGCCAAGACAGCGAAATGAGAAGCCCACCTGTCGTGCTCGAGAAGCCCACATACTGAAGATCGGGCTGGCGCAGAAGGAGAAAAAAAGGGACTGGGCGTACCAATGACTTGGGCCCGAATCAAACGGACGGCTTCCGAGGAAATGAGCATGAATTGCTCATGACATTCGCCACCAAGTCGGTACAGTAGACATCCCTTCAAGCCTTGATCCGAGTCAATTGTAAGTACATACTCCCCTTTGAGCAGAGAACATACCAAAGTCATTGCATACGCCGTTCCCACTCGATGCTCAAGACCATGAACATGTTCATATTGGCAGCACCACCCTTCATATGTATCTGTGGAATGCGTGAGTATTCAGCGTCCAGGCCCAACGCCGGGTACTGACGCGTTGCCACGGAGCTGGGAGTGGGAAAGGGCAAAAAAAAAGACTTGCCCCGGACAGCTGCTACAAACGTAACTTCAGAAGCAACGGAATCGATGAATGCACCTGCTCACGCCCGACATCGATTCCGCACGCACCTTCCTCGCTCGCTCCCTCACGTACGGATGCTTGATAAAAAAATGCGTGAATCTTACCAATCGCGACCTGGACACCGAGGACGTACTACGCTGGTTGATGGAGTTGACGTGATGCCGTGCCGGTTTTGCCGGCGGGGTGGGTTGCCGAACACGTGTTTGCTTATTTTTGGCATGGCATCGCTTGTGAGAAACCGCCTCGTTCTCCACGACCTCTTCATCCTTCCACGACGTCCGGGGCTCGTTCTGCTCGGCGGATACCTGGCTACGCCCCGGAACCTTGTCCAACCCACTGGATGCTCTATCAGTCCTGCTATCATGCCGAAGATTCGTGCAAGATACCAAAATTCATCTCCCAGGCCATGCACTCGCCACCGCTGTATTGGATTCCATCGTGGTGCTATGACTGTGAAACTTGGCATGGGCAGTGAGCATGGTTAATGCATTCCTTTGATGGTGTCAATATGATTTTATCGATTTTATTCTTCCCTCATTGCAGCGCACAGTGGAAAACCACCATTTACACATATCCGCCACTTGGGATTTTTTTTGGGAGTTCGACGAACCCGGTCCTCGAGCGGGCGATTTATGTACGTTCCTATAGCTCCTCTGCGGCTGATCCTTGCTCACTTTGGATATGCACCTCATTTTTGCCGCCGTACCGGTGCTCGCTATCGGAGGCTATCGGCCGGTTTTTTCGTCATATCGTTGACCGATATTCATGTTGATTCACCCATCTCTGCATGTCGATTACCACTTCAATATGATGCTTTCCATCCCTCAATGTCAATTTAAGGAGCCTTGGGCACTCTGTCGTTGCATATAGCCGGCTTGCGGGCCTCATCTTCACTCGCATTTCTGCCAAATTTTCACCTCACTCCCCACACAATTTGGTATGCACACCGCGTGAGACTTCGTTTGAATGAACCTGACCCTCAGGATGAGCCTACACTTTTCACCGCCGCTCCTGAGGAGGACACAGACTCGCTCTGACAACACCGAGGAGGACATCACAGATTTCCCTTGGGAGAAACACATGCAGCTTGCTGTCACCGCTACTCAAGCGAACCAAGCCGGGCTGAGGGCCATGAACGAGTAGTTTTGGATGTCCTATAGGCCTTTTGTATCCCTTGAAGTATTTTATAGCATTTATGGTGATGTGAGGAAAGCAGAGCGACGAGGAGCGCCGCCGATTGAAAAAGTTCCCACGATCGGCCCACTACCGCGTTTTTTTCCGATTTTGGACTTGCCCCGGCAAAATATTCGCCGAGCCATCAATCCGTGACCAAATCCCGCGCCGCTGCCCACAACTCACTCATATGATGCCAGACTACGTTTTGGCGTGCTACAATACCTGGTAGCTCAACATGTTGTGTTTTGGGCAACAAAAAACCCTCAAGGTGGCCCAGTACCCAGTCGCTGATAGTACCTGTTTCAATGTGGATGGTGCCGCGTCCGGCGTAACAGTGTGGTTATTCGGCACAGTGACGGGGACGGCGACTTTACGGGTTCAGCACCGCGAGGGCGTGTAATGGTAATCTTAATTAAGGTCGGTGAATGATATATGGACACGCACCGTGCAGTCAGGATAGCATCATCAGCAAGCGATGGACGTTGTCTCGCACGCAGCCGTCTTGTCCCTGAGCATGGTATTGGCGGAAGCAGCCTGTGTATTTGTCCGCGCGCGATACCCCTCGTCGTTTCCCGCCGTGAATGGCTGAAAATCGCGCAGGGAGTCCCCGCCGTCGGTCGGGAGCTGGAACGATGAAAAAGAAAAGTACCGTCGGGGAACGATACCGACTGTATAGTGTACCGTCAATCGCAGTGGAGGCATCCAGGCACGTATGCGCAGTGGATTTCATCGTCCGCGCCAGGAGCGTCTGTGTAATGGCGGTTCCGAATTTTAGTGATGGACCCGATAAACTACGTCCGCACGCACTGTTGATTTCGGGATAGCATCATCAACAATCGATGGACGCGTATTTTCGCGCGAAGGTATCTTTTTCTTGAGCACGGTGTTGGCGGGCGCTGCGTCGATGTTCGTCGGAGTTGACATCCACAACTCTCGGAGTCACGAGCATCCTCGTTGAACGCCGCTGCGAAGAGATCGGAATCGTGCAGGATGCTGCAGGATGTCGTCCCCGCCACCCGTCGGGAGCTGGAACAAGAATAGCGCAGACGCGTTGGGGAGGAGTTGTCGCAGGCTCAGGTCCATATCTCCGTGCATTGTATTCCAGCTGTGTCGGCGAGGGTTTTGAAGGTTTGATCTGCACCATCCGTCGGGAGCTGTAAAAAGAACGACGCAATCTCGTTAGAGAGGTCGGGGAGGTGTCGCAGGCTCGGCTCCTCCGTACATTAGGACTCCAGCTGTATCAGCGAGGGTCGTAAGCGCCAGTCTTTGAGAATCGGAGGTGGAAGCGAGAGAGAGGAGCAACCACGTGAGCTGCGCGTCGACATAACCAAAGAGAGGCAAAGCTATGCAAATACAGTTGGAGTCAAGAAATTTTATAAACCATTCAGCGCAATACTCGAAGGGAGAGATTGAATTAAAGTTGAATGGTAACGAAATTCAGGGAATCAAAATAAAAGAGAGCAGACCCAAGATCAATAACTGAGCCCGAACCGAACAGGCGCCCTCTGCTGGAATGAACACTGAAAGCCAGTGGTGCCCGATCACGGAAGATTATTATTCCAT